ATTCATTTTCTATTAAATGGCATAGTTGGATTTATTTTGAGATGATTTACACCAAGTCTCTGACTCAGCATGTCCCGCAGCACCCATCATTTATGTGATTTATTGTAAAGTGAGAAAAACTACATGGCTTTGATCCAATTGATTTCTTTGAATGCAATGGGATAAATAAGCAGGCATCAGAACAAATCTTACAAGAACAAGGGGCTGATAGTGTTGATTTTTTCATTTGTTTGTTGTTGGTTTTTTTTTGTTATGCTGTTTTTTAATATTTTTCTTGGCCTGGATGTCACTCTGTGCTCTCTCTGAGCATCAAGAAATGAAGATCAGACCATGCCAAATGTGGCTTTGGCTTTGGACAGACTTTATTTCAATATTGCACTCATTGCTGAGCTGTCAGCTTTACTGCCACAAGAATGTGAGACTGGGCACAGCATCTAGGGAGAGTTATTTGTTTTCTGATACCTTCCCTGGGGTTTCCCATTTTAGTAGGCTTTCTGATTACTTTTTCTTTGTTTTCTTTGCCTTTTTGGATGAGGTTACTTTGGTTGATGTGTGGCCCAGATCTGTCCTACTCTACTCTGAAAGCTGGTAAATGAGCAAATCTGGGTTTGAGGATTGAAAGTGATGTAAAGGCAATTGTATCCACACTTTTTAGAGTCTCAAGTAGCTTGGGGCATGGGGCGTTATGTATGTGTCAATGTACACATACTCAGTGCTTTGAGAATGATAGCTTTAAATGCACATATCTGTTGTGGAGGACTGTTTAAATGGAAAAATTTGCAGATAATTAGGAGCCCTTTGAAGAACCATAAGTGAAAAGAAAATTGCCTCAGCATTAAGAAACACACATAAACAAAGCAAACAAAATAGTAAAAAAAGAGAGCAAAGAGAAACAAGCCAATAACTACATAAACAGTAGTCTGTTTTAGAGGAAAAGTAAAAACTGTTGTAAGGATAGGGAGAAAGGACAAATTGATAGCAAGCAGTACAAATTAAAAGCTTGAGAGAGATAAGAGAAGAAAAAAAAGTAGGAATTTTATAGTTCAGGATTGTTAAAGTGAGTAAAAAAGGAAAATTTAGTGTATGCTAAACCAAAATAAATTCTAATGGTAATGGTCTGCTACTAGTTCAGAATGACAGATTTATTTATAATAATGCAGAAATTTCAATAACTGTCTATATTCTATAATTGGAAGAGAGCCTAGTTACTTAATCCACAACCCAAGCTAATGAAATACTTTTCATTACACCAGCTGCTAGAAACAATGCCATACATCATCTAATAAAGTAAGACATTTTTAAGAGATACAAGTCTGAGCAATTTTGCATGCAAGAGTTTTTAAAAGAGCAGGGTAAGGCTAATTGGAGATCATTGTTCTTCACTAAGAGAAGAGTGGAAGTTCCCTAAGTATGCTGAGAACCATGTGTCCTCGTTCCAAAGCCATCAGCCTCACATCTGTCTTAGGCACCATAACTCAGCATCTGATTGAGGATCCAGAAATGAGGGGATTGTGGGTAACACCGTGATTATAATTGAATAATATCATACTCCTTAAAACAGAAGCATTAATGGAAATCAACTTATGGAAAATACATTTTGTCAAGCTAAATTAGTGCTTTGTATGAGAATACATAACTGCTTGATAAAGTCTCAGCATTTGTCATTAATTTTACGCATCATAAATAAGGCATTTTTCTTGATGACAGTGGATAAACAGAACAACTGGTTAGCACAGTTCTTGGAAATAAAAGTGATGCATATGGAGGAGAATGCAGAAGTTATATTCCCTCTGAGATTAGTCTTAGATCAGCCAGTCCCTTCTAAGGGAGTAGGTGAAGTGATGCAGAGCTGTTGGAGAGGGTCCAGAGGAAATCCACAAAGATGCTCAGAGGACTGGAGCACCACTCCAATGAAGACAAGTTGAGGGAGTTGGGCTTGTTCAGCCTGGAAGGCTCCAGGGATAAGGCACTGAGGCCTTCCAGTATTTCAAGGGAGCTTACAATAAGGAAAGGGAATTAATTTTTACCTGGTCTGATAGTGATAGGATGAGGGGGAACGGCTTGAAACTAAAAGAGGGGACATTTAGATTAGATATGAGGTGGAAATTCTTTACTCAGAGAGTGGTGAGTCACTGGCAAAGGTTGCCAAGAGAAGCTGTGGATTCTCCATGTCTGGAGGTGTTCAAGGCCAGGTTGGATGGAGCCTTGGGTAAGCCAGCACCATACCCACGGGGAGAGAGCTTGGGGGGGATTGGAACTCGATGATTTTTAGGATCCCCTCCAACCTAAGCTGTTATATGATTATATGATTCCATGAACTTCAGAAGATGCGTGGAAGAAATCAAAGATTGATGCCTGATCCTGAAAAACCTCAAGACACATTGTGAATTAGTGAAGTGTGGAGCTGACTTATCTAGGAAAGACAGATGCCATCAGCTGGATGGACAAGCAGTAGAATTCAGCTATTTAGGAACGATTGCACAGGTGGAAGAAAAACTGTTTTGATTGTGTGTAACTGATAGAATCATAGAATCATTAAAGTTGGAAAGACTACTGAGATCAGCTAGTCCAACCATCAACCCTTCACCACCATGCCCACTAAACCATGTCCCTTGGTATCAAATGTCCATCTTTTTAAACACCTTCAGGGATGGTGACTCCACCACCTCCCTGGGAGCCTGTTCCAATGCCTGGACACTCTCGCTGAAAAGAAATTTTTCTTAATATCCAACCTGAACCTCTCTTGGTGCAACTTAATGCCATTACCTCTTGTCTTATCAAGGATAACTCCTAAAAGCAAAATTAGTTTGGCTTTTTTTGTTTGTTTGTTTTTGTTTTTTTTTGTTTTTACTTTAGTTCAAAAGAATGGTAATTCAGGAATGCTTGGTGTTAGGTGTTAAATTGGATCCAAGTAGATACTCACAACAGAATCATTACTGTGCACTGATGCTCTGTTACCCTGCTAGTACCCAGCCTCTCTTTGCTTTCAGCTCTCTTCTTGATGTGAGTGGATGGATATTTCCTCTCGTTGAGAGAGGAATGTCTCAGTGTGTGCATGGAGATGAGTTCTGGGAAAAAAAGAAAAAAAAAACCAAATCAACTCAGCAACTCACGCCAGGTCTGCTGGAGTCAGCATCACGAAGTTCAGGCCATCTGTGATACACCTAAGGCAGCTGAGCAGCTTGGCTCCATCTGGAGCTGCCTTCGGCTTGCTGCTAGCGTTCTTGCTGAGGTCCCCTCCTCTGAGGATGGTCAGATGTGGAGGGAGGACATCTTACACCCATGCTCTTCCAGTGAAGGCATACAGCCCTTTTGCTCTTGCCTCCTTGTTGGAGGGTGCTGTTACAAAGCGGGGGTATTGTATCCCTTCAATGTCTCTCCAGCTCTCCTCACCCCTCGTCTGCTGAAAACCCTGTGAAGATGTCCCAAATCCCTTTCCCAAAACCAGGGAGGAAGGCTTTTGAGTTCCCCCAGGATGCATGGGGCTGTGAAGGACTTGGGGTGAGGGGAATGCCTACAGGGGATGGGATGGAATTATGGGGGCAGTGAGATATATATGGGGTGCGGGATGGGGCTATAGGATTCTGCAACTCTATGGGAATAATAGGGGATAGGAATGTATGGGTACAGGATATATGGGGCACAGCCATAGGGTTAGAGATGTATATATGAGTTGTGTAGGATATGGACATAAGGTTAATGAGGTATGCATGGGATGTGTAGTACAGGGCTGTTGGGTTAGGAAAGTGTATATAGGATGTTGTATAGGGGTTTACCGTTAGGCAAATATATATGGGATGCATATGGGGTCAAGGCTATAGAGTCAGGGAAATGTGTATGGGTTTTGTAGTACAGGGCTGTAGGGTCAGGGATAAGTGTGTGGGTTGTGTACTACAAGGCTATAGGGGCAGGGAGGTGTCTGTGAGCAATATAGTACAGGGCTGTAGGGTTACGTAGGTGTATATAAGACATTGTATAGGGCTATAGGGTTAGAGAGGTGGGTATGGGGTATGTGGTACAAGGCTATATGATTAGGGAGCTGTGTATGGATTGTGTAGGATGCAGCTATAAGCTTTGAGAGGTATATGTGGTCTGCATAGAACTGAGCTGTAGGGTTATTTATCCATGTGTGGAATATGTGGGATAGTTTTATGACTCTGTGATCTCAATTTGTAGTGCGTGGAAAAGGTTATAAGGTTATGCATACATATATGGGATTTTCGGGTCAGAGCTGTAGGGTTAGTGTCATAGAACCATGACAGTTAGTGAGGTGTATATGAGATAGAGGGAACACGGCTATAGGGGTAGGTAAGTGCATGGGTGTGAAAAGGGGCATTTACAGTGTGTGTGTGTGAGGGGGTGATGGAGGGGTCAGAGTGGAGTGGGAGGGGACCAGGGTTGGGTCACAACCAGGGTCAAGACCATGTCAGGGTCAGGTCCAGGTCAGGGTCAGGACCAAGATCATGACAAGGGTTAGGACCACAATTAAAAGTAAGTCTGGGACCAGGGTGAGGATCAGGATCAAAACCAATATAAGGATCAGGATCAGGATTAAGATCAGGATAAGGATGAGGGACAGGATCTGGACCAGGGTAAGGCTAAAGATAGGGATAAAGATCAGGGTCAGGATCAGCATCAGGAACAGGATCAGAACCAGAACCAGGTCCAGCAACAAAGTCAGGACCGGGTCTAGGTCCAGGACCAAGTCCAGAAAAAAGGTCAGGACCAGGATAGGGCCAGGACCCGAGATGAGCTGGGGGTGGGACCACTGCTATACTCAATCCTATAGGGAGGGAGGTAGCGGGGGCCGGGTGGGCCCCCCCCCCCCCCCCCCCGCGGCATCATGCCCGCTCACCACCCTCCCTGACGGCCGCTCTCCTTCTCTCCCCGCTCCGCCGCCCCATTCCCTCCCTCCCTCCCTCCCTGCCTCCCTCCAGCAGAGCCTCCGCCTCCCTGCCCGGCGCCTGGTCCTGGCGCGGTTGCCGAACGGTCCCGCTCGACGCCTCCCGGACTAAATGCCTCTGTGACAAGCTCTCCGCCTTCGCCATCTTAGCCCAGCTCAGCCCCGACATGGTGAGTCCCTCCGGTCACCCGCGGAAAGGGGACGATGAGAAAGGGAGGGGTTGCGGGGCGGGAAGGAAAAGAGCAGGGGGACGATAAAATAAAAGAGATGGGAAGGCACAAACCCGAGCCCAAGTGGTGCTGGTAGCGAGCACCCTCATCCCTGGGGGCTTTACATCCTTCCCCCCACCCCCGTTGCCTTTATTCCTCGGCCGTAGCTTGGGGAGGGGAGGACAGACCGGGGATGCTGCTGCATTGATGTCCCCTTCCTCCTTATTCCTCATTCCTCCTGCGCTGTGATTTTGGAACGCTGCTAAAGTGTATGCCTGGGAGGGGGGTTCCCCCCACTCCATCGTCACACGTGTCTTCATTTCGAGCATCATCCCCATCCCATCCCCATCCCACATTCAGGCTTGTTCACCCCTCTGCATCCCCGTCACGTTTCCTTATCACCTGTTTAGGGCTTTTTTTTGGGGGGGGGGAGGAGGGGGGAAGAGGAGGGGGGTGATCCCTGCGCCAGAACAAAAACGGGGGAGTTGCGGAGGGGGGTGTGCGCGAAGTTTCATCCGCTGTCGGCGCAGCGATGCCGCCTCCGCCGCCGCTGCTCGGACGGAGATTCCTCGAAATGCTGCACCCTGAATCAGAGCATCAGGGCGGCTGCCAGGGCACCCAGGGCACTGCCAGGGTGGCCCGAAGGGATTGCTCTCCTCCACCTTGCACTTCTTTTTTTTCTTTTTTTTTTTTCTTTTTTTCTTTTTTTTTTTTTGGTGTGTGCGTGTGTGTGTGTAATTTCTCCTTTTTTGGATGCTGTCCCAAGTTGATGGAGAGGAGCTCCCCCTCCTCTCCTTCCACACTCCTCCATCTGCTGGGCATTGGGAGTTACTGGGCCCGGGCAATTATTTACTAATTATGCCTTGCTTGTTAAATGCTGGCTTAATTCAGCAAAAGGGGAGGGGAAAGAAAGAAAGGAAGGGTGGTGTTGGTAAAGGGGAGGGGGGCGATCACATTTTCCAAGATGAAGGTTCGGTTTATTATTAGAAACACTAATGTATTTGGTCCACTAGTTACCATGGAAACAACATCTGCACTGAAGTGGTTTTAAAGACACAGTGTTGGTTGTGTTTGCCTGGACCCCATGCAGGTCCAGCCACTCCAAGTGGGCTCTTGAGCCCTGCATAGAGTTGCTCTTTGGGTCCTCTGGAGTGAAGCACTGAGCTTCTTATTTCCAAAGCAGCACTCTGGTTGAAGAAGGTTTGAAGGTAGGAGCATGTTCCTGCTTGGAAGGGACCTAGAAAGAGTTCACAGAATCATAGAATTGTGAAGATTGGAAAAGATCATTAAGGTCATCTAATCCAACCATCAGCCCGTCCCCACCATGTCCACTAAATCATGCTCCTCAGTGCCACATCTGTACATTTCTTGGAAACTTCCAGGGATGGTGAGTCCACCACCTCCCTGAGCAGCCTGTTCCAAAATCTTGCCTCTCTTCCTGAGAAGAAATTTTTTCTAATATCCAACCCGAGTTGGTTGCATCTGATGTCCCTGCAACAATCTTCTTCCATGGGAAGTTGTTTTGCTGTCTGAAACAAAGTGCAGAAGGGAGGGAACCGTGCTGGTACAGCAGTGGCACCCAAATTGTACCCAGGTGGCACTCAAGGTGTCCTGCTGTGCTCTACTGAACCAGCTGGGACCCATATCCTACAGATCTCTGCGCCATACTTCAGCTTGTGAAGAGAAAGCTCCAGGGAGACCTCATTGTGGTCTTCCAGTATTTGAAATGAGCTTATAAGCAGGATGGAGACAGAACATTTACACAGGTAGGTAGAGAACAAGGGGAAATGGATTTAAACTAAAAGAGTGGAAATTTAGGTTGGATATTAGGAAGAAATTCTTTACACAGAGGATGGTGAGGCACTGGAGCAGTCTGCCCAGAGAAGCTGTGGGTGCCCCATCCCTGGTGGCATTCCAGGCCAGGCAGGATAAGGCCCTGGGCAGCCTGATCTAGTGGGTGACAACTCTTCATGGCAAGGGGGTTGGAGCTCAGTGATCTTCAGTGTCCCATCCAATCTAAGCTATTCTATGATTCTGTGATTCTGTTATTTGTACATGCCCCTGCAGCACTGCATCCAGCAGCTGCAATACTCCAAACTTCATCCTGAGCTTACAGCTGCTTAAACTTTTGACTCTGGACATTGTGATGACGGATGGGTGAGCCATCGTGCTGTCATTGCGAACAACCCAGTCCCGCTGAAGTCTAGAAGGGTTGCATGATCAGAAGCAATAAATCAAGATTTCTGCTTCAGGAATAGTTTTAAGGCAAGGCTTGATATAAGTTGAGCCCAGCTGTGCAGCTGAGCAACCAGGGAAGGTCCTCCACTCATCTATCTTATGGAAGTGGGCTGGGAGGCACAGAGAAAGAAGTCTGTGGCTTGGCTAAAGCAGAACTTTCTCTAATGCAGGGCTAACTTTATGTTCATAGAGGGACTGGGGTTTCTTAACTAAACAGATAGGGAAAAAAAACGCCAATTTGACATGGTCACATACTACTGCTGCCTCAGATCTTGGTGTTTGGGAGTTATCTGGTTACCACAAATTGGTGTAAGCCCTTTATCATCAGTGCAGGCATTTTCGCATCTGAGATTGCATTTGGTTGCAGGAGGATGCAGCTTCCTTCCCCCACACATGTTTTATTGTATCTGCAACTTACCTCTCTGCTAGTCTTTTGGGGTTTGGGTCTGAAATTGCTTCCTCCCTCCTCTTTCCAACTCTTCTGGCTGTTGATTGGGATGTAGTTTCACAATTTGTTATTCCCAGACTGGAGTCAGCTCATGAGTTCGTGAGTTCTTTGGCTGTGCTTGGAGGAAAGCTGAGACCTGAATTCCCCCTAAGTAAAGCCCAGCATTTGTCAGTGCTACGGAGCACTGCTCACTCAGGTCCTCCTGGTTTCTTGTCCGAGTGTCATTCCGAGCTGCCTGCCTTCCCCAGAGGTGGCATCTCGTCAGTGTCGGTGTCTGCAGTGGTGACATTTATAGTGCAGTTTTTCATGTGCCTTTGGAGCTCTCCAGACAAGAAGCTCTGTCCGCCTGTGTCATTAATATTATTTATTGCTATAAATCTCCCTTCTGGAATCTTTGGCCCTGGCAGTTTGAAATATTTGTAACCCTGCTATGGGCACTGCTTCTTTGCAGTGAAAAGGGACCTGAAAAGGTTTGTGGTGGATGAGTGTTGCTGCCCAGGCGTCTGATTCAGAGCTGCCAAGGATGAGGTTTTTCTTCATGTTGCTTTTGTAGCAGGGAAAGGAAGCAGTTTTCCTTGATTTTGATAGAGTTATGAGCTTGTTCTGAAAGCAGTGTTGGAAAGAGACACCCCTAAACTATGACGGGACTGTTTGGACCCAGCCCAAAACTGGACTTTGAGCTCAACTCTTTCTCTGGATCTGATTTCCCTTGGATCCCACTATTTCAATTAGACAGAGGCATTTTTTCTTGTTAGTTTGGCTGGATTACTGTCTGACTGTCACTGGACACTAAAAGCTCTTAAATTAAAGAACACAGACAAGGTTTTGCTTCTGTCTTTTCATTCTGGTTTTACCTCACACCCAGCTTGGTAGAAGAATGGTAGTGACGCACTCTGATGCTACACCCGCATAATAGCAGTGCTAATGATGAGGGAAGAGGGGATGATAAGGGCAAAAGGAAATTACACAGCCATATGTTCAAACTATACCTTTGCAAGATGTGATCAGTTTGATTAAGGGTCTTGTGATGGTGTTTTACAATGTTTCTTGGCAATTTGGTGGAGACAGGGAGAATCATAAAATCCTTAAGGTTGGAAAAGACCACTGAGATTATCTAGTACAACCATCAATCCATCAACAGAAGGAAGGAGAGCAGGAGGCTGAGGATTTGCAGTGCAGCCTTTCAGTCTTTGGTTGTCTTGTCTGAGTTGGCTTGCGTCATCTCTTCTGCCTGCCATGGTTGGTTCTTTATGAAGTCAACCAAGCTTTAAAGTTGAGCTCTTAGAGCACTGGTAGCATACAAATTCAAGTTCACTTGGAAATGTGTTGGTGAGATGGTAAGTGTAGGAGTGAGATGTAACGTCCCAGGTTGATGCAATGCAATGCAATGCAATGCAATGCAATGCAATGCAATGCAATGCAAAGCCAAAAAAAAAAAAAAAAAGGGGGGATTTTATGCTGTTAGCTTCACTTTGCACAAAGGCAAGGAACATTTTGTGGTATGCTTCCTACCTAAGGGGACAATGAGTTCAGAGCTGCTCTCTCGACTCACAACATTTACTTTTTTTTTTTTTTTTTTTAACTGAAAACATCCCAATGATGTCTGTGCAGCAGAGGAGAAAAAAATCCTTTTTACCCTGGGGAAATAATGAAGCATAGAGAATAGACTCACAGTGTGCATCTTGGCTGGGTCAGAATTGCTGCTCGGAATGGGCTGACGATACTTTTGATGGAAAATTATGGCAGTGTTTCACTTTGATAAGACCAGAACACTTTATTTGGAGATGAGTATTTTAGCATTTATATTCTACCATTGTTTATCACCTGAGATTTGGGGTCTGGATAAGAACAAAGCCTTTTGCTTGCCTTCAGAATAACCAGCTCTCAAATTCAGTTATTCACAGGTTTCCTTAAGAATAATGCTGCTTCTCTTGCAGTGTTAACTCTTTGAAAATTTGAAAGAAAAGTTCTCACTATTGCTTGGCTGGAGTTCCTACAGTGTCAAACCATTCCAGTCATGCAATGTGGGTCTAATGAAGAGCTCATTAGGGTTGCTGTATCTGTGTGTATTGGTTAAGCCACAGGGCTTAGAGCTTTCCCTGTGCTTGCAGATGAAATCGTGACCTTGGGCTAATCACTTCATTGCTTTCTGCTTCCCTTTCCCCAGCTGCAGCACCCTTGCAGGTGACATCCAAGCCTGCATGCATCCTCATTTGTACGGTGCCCTGAGCCTGAAGGGTGCTACAGAAAAGTCCAAGTGTTGTCATTTCCCCAG